GCTCTGCAACTTACCTGGCTGCTTCTTGCTCCGACTGAGGGCTGCTGGGAGCAGTGGGTGGGGCTCGTTGCATGTGCCCGCCCCCTGGGCTCCTTACTGCCGGAGCTCCGCTCCTGTGCGCTCCTGCAGGAAATGACCCCTGCGTGTTGCCCCAAAAAGTCAGACCAGAACCAAAGGGTTGAAATTAGATCAGAAGAGTTTTCGGCGAAACGTTAGGAAGAGCTTCCTGACAGAGTGGTTCCTCAGTGGAACAGGCTTCCTCGGGAGGTGGTGGGATTGCTTTCTTTGGAGGTTTTCAAACAGAGGCTAGATGGCCATCTGACAGCCATGCGGATTCTGTGAACTCAGGCAGATCGTGAGGGCAGGGAGGGTTGTAACCAGCAGCACAGACCCAGTACCTGGGGTGGTTTTCCCCGAGAAACACCCCAAAACAACCTCTGAACCTCCCACAAGCAGTGTCCTCAAAGCCAGGCTTTGCTTAAACAGTGGCTTTTGCTGGGAGGCTAGGACAACCACATTTTAACTGGGAAAGCTTAGGCCAAGTGCCGGGCCAGCTGCATCCTCCTTGCGACCCCTCCCCCCACACTCTTCTCTCCTGTCAGCTCAGTCCAAGAGGACTAAGAATGGGCAAGTCACTGTCTGCCTTTCTTACGCGCCCAGGGAAATGCTGATCACCTCTTTGGGGTCAGGAAACCATTTTTCTCCAGGCCGGTTTGCCATCTTCTGGGCATGGAACCGGGGGTGTGTGTGTGTGTCACTGAGGGTATGTGTGGGGGGGAGGTATTTCTGAATTTCCTGCCTTGTGCAGGGGGTTGGACTAGATGACCCCGGAGGTCCCTTCCAACTCTATGATTCTGTGCAGAGCTCTCGAGTGAGGAACGCTCTTTTAAAACAAGGGAGACATTGCGGTACTATAATAGCTGTCCACGTTAGCTGCTTTGACTAACCATATGATCTCTCCTCCCCCCCCCCCTTGTTTCCTTTCTCTCCTTCTCTACAGAAGATGAAGCGTCCCCGTATCAGGTCAGTACCTAGAGTGTAATCGCAAAACCTCTTAATGGCGGGCTGAAGTGGAGGGGAAAGGGCATGAACAAGGGTGTGTCTAGAATCTCGATAACAGAGATAAGCAGCTTTTGGTAGCCCTGTCCTCTTTGTAGGGCAGTGACTCTTACTCAGTGACTTGGGAACGACATGTGGTTCCCTGACATGGCACCCGTGGCTCTTCGGAGCACCATTCCCCAAAGGGGCACCCGCCCCATACTCCAGGAAAGTGGGCAAGGCCGCTGCCCAGTGGGGCTTGCAGTAGTCTCCACTGGAGTAATACATGAGCTGCAAACCTCCCTGGAGTGTAGGCCTTCTGCCAGGAATGGCTCTTTTCGTTGGGTTTAAATGTGGCTCTCTGTGATTCATAAAATTAGTACCACTGCTGTAGGGAATCCTGGGAATTGTTCTGTGAGGGATTTCTGATGGAGAATTCTCAGCATACCCCCCCCACACACACACACACCAAACTATAGTTTGAGTCCAGGGGCAACTTAAGACCAACAATTCTGGATATAAGCTTTTGTGTGCATGCACACTTCTGCAAAAAGTTTATACCCAGAATTAAACTTTGTTGGTCTTAAAGGTGCCACGGGACTCAGACTTTGTCAGTATAAAATCAGTAGAAGAAGAAGAAGAGACTGGATTTATACCCCGCCCTTCACTTGGAGTCTCAGAGCGGCTGATCCCACAAACGTTTTACTATCAGTAGTGTGGTGGTTAAAGTGTCAGACTTGGAGACCCAGTTTCAAATCTCCACTTGTGCCATGGAAGCCCGCTGGTTGACCTTGGGCCAGTCACACACTCTCAGCCTAACCTACCTCACAGGGTTGTTGTGAGGAGAGGAGAAGAGCGTAAGCCTCTTGGGGTCCATTTTTTTGGGGAAAATGGGAAATAGATGAGGTGAAGATACAGAGCTCCCCAAACTGCCTCTCCAGGTGTTATGGAAAGGGTTTTTCCTTCTATTGCAGAGTTTCTTCCCCACAAACGTTTTACTATCAGTGGTGTGGTGGTTAAACTGTCAGACTTGGAGACCCAGTTTCGAATCTCCACTTGTGCTATGGAAGACCGCTGGTTGACCTTGGGCCAGTCACACACTCTCAGCCTAGCCTACCTCACAGGGTTGTTGTGAGGAGAGGAGAAGAGCGTAAGCCTCTTGGGGTCCATTTTGGGGAGAAAAATGGGAAATAGATGAGGTGAAGAACAAAGCTCCCTCTAAGCTGTGGAGTCTTGTGAGCAAAAAATCTACTTTGTGAGACACTGGGATTAAAGTTGTGAGCGAGCCATTTGGCTACTGCATAAATCGGTTTGCTCTGGAGCCCTCCTTCCTGAGCTAGCTATGACAAAAATGTGTGAGCTGGAGGCTAAAGACCTGTGAGCTAGCTCACACTAACCTTAGAGGGAACACTGGCAAAGAAGTGATCTCCTGATGTCCTCTGGACATCTGGTGCAGAACCCCAGTGCCTATGGCCACTCCCCTAGAGGGCCACAGTCTGGATCCATCCTATTACGCGCCTGTGTACCTGGGAATGAAGTCTCAGCGTGGAGCCCCCCGAGCTTGCCTGGTCGACAGGTCACAGGAAGGCCCCCTAAACCACGTGTGTCCCGTAGCTAAACCCTCAGAGGAGGCCAAGTGAGTCACTGTTCCGAGCTTGTCACTTTCCAATCCAGAGACGCACTCACGTCAGTGACTCATGGCAGAAACAACGGGGGCAGGCTCTTCGGAAGGCAAACAACCCTTTCTTCAGTGCACCCTTAAAAGCCGGCCTTTTTCGCAGGGAGTGCGAGATTGAAAAGAGCCTGTCATTTTAATGTAGAAAAGGAGTGTGGATTCTTCACAAAGCGATTTGTTAATTCCCCCTCCGCCCCCACGTTCTTAGGCTTTGCCTTGAGGTGAGCCAGTTTCAGCCTTCGAGCGGCGGGAGGGAAACCTCCTCTTTGAGGGCTGATGGCCCTGCCTTGGCGGTGACGTTTGTTTTATTCTCTCCGGTTATACCCTGCCTTTCTCCCAAATGGGGTTCCCAAAGTGGCTTACGTCATTCTCTCCTTTTTCCTTTTTGCCTATATAACAACCACCTAGGAAGGTAGGCTCAGGCTGAAAGAGAGTGACTAAAAGGGAACCTCACATTTAGAGGCAATCAACTTCTCAATCCCAGTGCCAGGAGGCAACATCAGGAGAAAGCCTCGGCCTCTCTGCCCTATCATTGGCCCTCCAGAAGAACTGGTTGGCCGCTGTGTGAGACAGGATGCTGAACTAGATGGACCACTGGTCTGATCCAGCAGGCTCTTCTTACATTCTTTTAGATAGATTCATGGAGGATCAGTCTATCAATGGCTACTAGCCATGGTGACTGAGGGGAACCTCCGCATTCAGGGGCACTGAGCCTCTGAATCCCAGAGCCAGGAGGCAGCATCAGGGGAAGGCCTCGGCCTCTCTGCCCTATTGTTGGCCCTCCACAGGAACTGGTTGGCCCCTGTGTGAGACAGGATGCTGGACTAGATGGACCATTGGTCTGATCCAGCAGGGCTCTTCTGATGTTCTTATCAGGAGAAGGCCTCGGCCTCTATGCCCTGTTGCTGGCCCTCCAGAGGAACCGGTTGGCCACTGTGTGAGACAGGATGCTGGACTAGATGGACCATTGGTCTGATCCAGCAGGAGTCTTCTGAGGTTCTGATCAGGGGAAGGCCTCGGCCTCTAGACCCGGTTGTTGGCCCTCCAGAGGAACCGGTTGGCCACTGTGTGAGACAGGAGGCTAGACTAGATGGACCCCTGGTCTGATGCAGCAGGGCTCTCCTGATGTTCTTAAGATCCACTTGCATCCTACTGTGGTCCTCGTGGGTTCAAAAAGGAGGGGAATGGATCAGACAATCAGTTGCAGCAAGACCACCATGAAAGGCTGACCCATCCTGTGTCCTCAACAGCCCCCTGCCCCAGAAATTCAGCATGTAATCGCCCCCCTTCCGCTCGGCTACTTATCTCCTACCAAGGGAAGCTTGGGCAGCTACAGTTCTGTGCATCAAGCACCTGTGAAGAACAAAGTGTGAAGACAAAACCTTCCCCCCCCCTGTTCTGGATATCGGTTGAACTAAGGCATGCAGGGCTACTCTGCGATAGCTTCCGTGTGGCTGGGACACTCTTGGAGCTGCGAGTGAACCCTTAGGTGTGGGTGAGAGGGAGCAGCGGACTGTTTCTCGCGCTTCGAAGCTGAGCGGCGCAAGTAGATCTCCAAGGGACGGGCTGGCTGGGGAAATGTGGCTTCCTCTCCCCCTCCCCGCATCTCTTGGGAAGTAATTGGAAGGAGACACATCAAGTAGGGGTGCCAGCCTCCAGGTGGGGCCCGGGGATCCCCCGGAATTACAGCTCATCTCCAGACCACTGAGAGCAGTTCTCTTGGATAAAAGGGATGCTTTGGAGGGTGGACTCTATGGCATTGTGCCCCACTGAGGTCCCTGCCCTCCCCAGGCTCCATCCCCAAATCTCCAGGAGTTCCCCAACCTGGAGTTGGCAACCCAACCCTCACCGGTGTCCGGGGGGGACCAGGCAACCCTACGGCCTCCCAGGTTGCCACTCTGTGGCTCTGCACGGAACGCCCTTTGCTTCTTGTGCTGCAACTGAGCCGACGGCTTCTCTGCACTGGCAGACCTTGGCGTTTGCCCTCACACCAGCAACCAAAAGTGTCCACTGCAGAAGCCGAACTTGCTGACTGCTCCTCTCCCCCCCCCACAAACACATATACCACCCGCAGAGCAAGTTTATTTCTGCCTGCATTGTCCCCCTGACTTCTCCTTGATCTTCAATCATATTAAATTCCTCTGTAATGCGTGGCAAAATACGACCGTGGAATGGGATTCCCGGGGGCAGCAAGTCAGGAGCCAGAAGCTTAGAGCCTTTGAGAAAGTCTGGCTGCATTTCAAGCTCTCCCCATGACTTGTCTGTTGTTTTATCAGATTATCCCTTTAATTGGCCGGGGAAACTTGCCTCCCCACCGCTCATTTCCCATTTGGCAGTTTGTTTTGTAAAAAGGTAAAGTCCTTGGCAGAGGTCAGACAGACTATAGAACGTTTCCCCCCACACACACCCATTTCCCAGTCCAAAATAAGAAGACTAAAAAAAACCCCCAGAACTTAGTCCACATGACCAGGTGAATGACACAGAACGGTGTGGAAGTTTTGAGTTCTCCAGAACTCCTTTCAAATTAAAGAGGGCAATTAACGGTCTCCAGAAATGTAACAGGATATGGGTATAGGGATGGCAGCCTCCAGGTGGGGACTGGGGATCCTCCGGAATTAGAGCTCACCTCCAAATGGCAGACATCAGTTCCCCCAGAACAAATGGATGCTTTGGAGGGTGGACGCCAGTGTTCCCTCCAGAGGTCACTTCGGGGGGAATCGCGGGGGATCGCTGTTCCCCCGGGTGAGGTACGGGGGGCAGGGCACATGACGAAGCCCCACCCCCTGCTTCCGGCCGCCCCGCTTCCGGCCCTCATTCAGCCAGGAGGAGGCAGGAGAAGAGGGAGGGTAAGTTGCTTCCTCCCTGCCTCTCCCCACCCCTGCCTGCCTGGGGCCAGGGAGGGCCTTCGCGGGGCTTCCTTGCACTCCCGCCGGGACCATTGGGGGCGGGGTGTGTGGCCTCATGACACACGTCCGGTGATATCAGGGTGTGTGGCCTTATGACACACTTCCAGTGATGTCAGGGGGTGTGGCCTTATGACACACTTCCGGTGATGTCAGCATATGCTAATGAGTTATGCTAATGAGTTCCCCTAGCTCTTTTTCTACAAAACGACCCCTAGTTCCCTCTAAGCTGAGTTAGTGTGAGCTAGCTCACAGTTTTTTAGCCTCCAGCTCACACATTTTTGTCTTGGCTCAGGAAGAATGGCTCCAGAGCAGACTGGTGTATGTAGTGGCCAAATGGCTCGCTCGCAGCTTTAATGCCAGTAGAATTTTGCTCACAGGACTCCACAGCTTAGAGGGAGCATTGGTGGACACTGTGGCGTTGTGTCCCACTGAGGTCCCTGTCCTCCCCAGGCTCCATCCCGAAATCTCTGGGAGTTTCCCAACCTGGATCTGGAAGCTCTGCCCTCCCCCCTTCTCCTGCCGGTGACCAGGGGGGACCTGGTGGCAACCCCAGGTGCAAAGCCAGAGTTGATGGGCGAAGAAGAGATGGAGAAGGGCTAACTTGACTGTCAGCTTAGCTGAAGGAGGCTTAATTAACCAGCCACCTTTTAAACCAATCCATTCCGTAATTCACAGATTCTATCGAAAATGACTTGTGCAGTGCCAGAAGCAGCTGTCTATTTTTAGGTACTGAAAGAAGTGTGAGAACTTGCAATTTAACACACAAAAGCTAATGCGCTCATTGTTAGAAGAGAACATGTCATTCCCTGCTTCCTCCCCTGCTCAAACATTTTCCTTTTTATTCCCCACGAGAGCAAAACTCCAGGACCGAACTAGCTCTCAAAATCAGCACATAGGTGAATTTAATTCTTAGCCCCACCGATTAATAGTTGCCATCTCTGATTCAACAAGTGGAGCCTCAGTTGACTGATTGATGGCATAGACATCCTGTTGAACTTTCTCGCTGGGGAGCAAGGGCTGGCCCGATTAGCAGGCAGATCTAGGCAGTCGCCTAGGGCACCAGACTCTGAGGGGTATCAGAAAGGTTAGAGAAGCTTTCTCTACTGGTGTGACAGGAAGCTTGGTGTGAACTGGCTTCTATAATCTGGTCTTCCATAGTTGCCATGGTGGAACGTGAAAGGCTTTCCGGCCCTTCCTTGCAAACTTACGTGGTTCTCTCTTTGTGATTCTCTAATTTGATCCCACATGCTGGTTGTGATCTTGGCAGTTTTTTAAAGCCTGTCCTGTGCCAATTGCACACTTTCCTCCAAATGGATCAATCCCAAGCGATTCTTACATTCAGTGGTTTGCAGAAACTCCATGTGGCTCAGCCTCCATTTTAATGTTAGGCTTCCGGAGACTGCCAAAAGGGTCCCTCCCAACTTTGTTCACTGAAGCATTAAAGGAAAAAACGTTTTCAAAGATTTAGGCTTCCCATCCCAGTGTCTCTCTCTCTCTTTACATCTCATGTCAATTTCATTCCATGCTGACGATTCCCCCTTTATCTTGTTTGCATGCAGCACTGAAATTCTTTGCCTCCTCTCCAAACCCCCCTTTCAAGTCAATACCCAGCAGGGAACGAAACCTCATCCAGCTCCTTTTAAACTCCCCCCCCTTCATTTTAAATGTTCTAAATTCAGCAATCCGAGACTAGAGATGATCTCGTATCTCTAGAGTCATGGTGCTTGTAAAAGGAAAAAATGAGCAGAAAATGGAACTTGTACACCGATGAACGGGGGGGAGGATGACAGAAGGTGCGGAGTGGGTGGGACAACCTGAGATTTCACATAAAATCCCACATTCGCGGTGTAAAGTAGTATTTCCTTTTGTCTGTCCTGAACCTACTGCCCATCAGCTTCATTGGGTGCCCTGGAGTTCTAGTCTTGTGGGAGAGGGAGAAAAAAAAATCTCTCTTTGTCATCTCTTCTCTAAACTGAAAAGTCCCAAACTCTTCACCCTTTCCTCATTGGGAAGAGTCTCCAACCCCCTAATTAATAGATGAATTGATCAAAGCTCTGTTTTGGTTGACTCAGAAGAACTCCTCCCTTAACTGACAGCAGATTCCCCCCCTCTATGAGTACTCAGCAGCACTTGCTGATGGTTTCTGCCAACTTTAACAGCACCCCTCTTCTCCCGCTGTCTTAGGAGGGGGTGCCTCTCCTCAGGAGGTGCTCTGCATGCACACATACTCTGAGACCAAAGAAATGATGTGTTTGGACTCCAGGGTATCGTTTTTATGGATATGGAAATGTGTGCAGACTTAAGGGATTCATCGATCAAGATGTAATATTAATCAACCGAGGTGTCTTTCATTGGGTTGCGGCCTTTATTTGGAATCTGGCATTTCAGAAGCAGCTTCCAAAAGGTGGAATGTGGAGGAGCAGCTGTTAAAAAAAAGAAAAGAAAAGCAAAAAAAAAGCCCCAGCAGCATGCATGCAAAATCCACGCTCACAAAAGAACACTTTGGATCAAAGCCAGTCTCTTAATTTAACCAACTCTTCTGATTGCTTTCTTAATTTTGCCACACTTCAAGTCACATCCCCAACCTTTAGCTCCTCTGGGAAATCTTCAGAGGCTTGTTCTGCCTTTGAACCGGTAACTCTGATTCCTCTTCTTCCTTTCTTTTTTCTTCCAGAGAGCTTTGGGCGAAGGCTACCACCTTAAAAACAAAAGGAATGCCCCCTGTGTCTACACACCCCCTTCTCTTAAAGGTAAGGCAGCTTGGAACGTTCTCTTCCTTGCAGTTTGTTGAACTGAAATGCTGAAGTGCAATTAGAAATCTCCAGGGGTCATCTTTTGCTGTATGGGTCACTCCTGGTCCAGGACCAGAGCATTTCTGGGAGTTTAGGCATCCCAAGGCTTATTCGGCAGGGGGCTGTTTATACAGTGAGTGATTACAATGTGGAATTAAATGGCAGCGGATGGAGTCATGGCCACAGGATCGATGGCTTTAAAAGGGGATTAGACAGATTCATGGAGAAGTCTCTCAATGGCTACTAGCCATGGTGACTAAAGGGAACCTCCACGTTCAGAGGCACTAATCCTCGGAATCCCAGAGCCAGGAGGCAACATCAGGGGAAGACCTCGGCCTCTATGCCCTGTTGTTGGCCCTCCAGAGGAACTGGTTGTCCCCTGTGTGAGACAGGATGCTGGACTAGATGGACCACTAGTCTGATCCAGCAGGGCTCTTCTGATGTAGGGGAAGGCCCCGACCCCTATGCCCTGTTGCTGGCCTTCCAGAGGAACTGAGTGGCCACTGTGTGGGACAGGATTCTGGAATAGATGGACCACTTGTCCATCCAGCAGGTCTCTCTTGATGTCCTCATGATGGCTGAACAGCTTCAGGCTTTTTTGGAGGAGATGGCTCATTTGGATCCATTTCAGGTCACTTTTGAGATGACTCTCACTAGAAGGGACATGGTGAAGTGTAACCCTGCTGGTTTACACCTCTTTTGGGCTGACTAGTTAGAGAAGGTGGATTGGGGCCAGCTGTTTGGCCCTGTGGCAGTTGTGCCATGGAGTTCTCAGGCATTTTTTCTTGCTCAACACCTTCTGAATGAGGCCATCAAAAGTGAAAGATGGTGGCCAACTTTTTCCCCTTTATCATGTAGATTATTTGAGACAATGAATGAGAGGATGGGGGCAGGGCTCAGCTGGACAGCCCAAGGAAGGGAACACGTGAATGCATGAAGCTGCCTTTTACTGAATCAGACCCTTGGTCCATCAAGGTCAATATTGTCTACCCGGGCTGGCAGCAGCTCTCCCAGGGTCTCCGGCAGAGACCCTTTCACATCACCTGCTACCTGGACTTCTTAACTGGAGATGCCATGGATTGAGATGCCAGGGATCGTGGGTACTCAATGAAATTGCTGAGCAGTCGGGTTACAACGGATAAAAGGAAGTCCTTCTTCACCCAAAAAGTGATGAACACGTGGAATTCACTGCCATAGGGGGTGGTGGCGGCTACAAGCATGGACGGCTTCAAGAGGGAATTAGATAAGCATAGGGAGCAAAGGTCCATCAGTGGCTATTAGCCACAAGGTATAGATAAGGAACGGTGCTGCGGTGGCTCAAGTGGTTAAGACGCGGAACTGGTATTGTACCTTGTTGAGGTCCCTCCCCTTCTGAAAACCTGCCCGCCCCCCAGGCTCCACCTCCAAAATATCCAGGTATTTCCTAAGCCAGAGCTGGCAAGCCCGTGAAAATCTGGCTGTGTTGGACTTCATTTTGGCCAGCAGAGAAAAAAGAAGAGCCATTTTAATTTGCCGGTTGCCTATTTGTTTGGACTCAGCGTGGGAAGGGGCAGTTTGTGATGGGCTGCTGATGGATAACCATGAGGACTAGAAACATTTGCTTTTCAAAAATGTATTTGCATTATTTATAGCCCGCCTTTCTCACAGGGACTCAAGGCAGCAGATGCCGAGAAAATACAAGATTAATTCTGAATAGGAGATGTAGATCATGAGCTCCAAATAGAAAGCGCCTTATGAAGCATTAGGAGCTGCGGTGGCTCAAGTGGTTAAGACGCTGAACTGCAGGCTGTGGAAGGTCAGTAGTTCAGCAGTTCGAGACCCAGGGTGCCGCATGACGGAGTGAGCTCCCGTCTCTAGTTCCAGCTCCTGCCAACCTAGCAGTTCGAAAGCAAGACATTGCAAGTAGATAAATAGGTACCACTTTGGTGGGAAGGTAACAGCATTCCATGCGCCTCAGTGTTTAGTCATGCCGGCCACATGACCACGGAAACGTCTTCGGACAGCGCTGGCTCTTCGGCTTGGAAACGGAGATGAGCACCGCAACCCTAGAGTTGGATTCGACTGGCTTTTGAGCAAGGGAACCTTTACCTTTTATAGATAGGAACTCTCGGTCTGGGGCAAGGGATGCTCTGTATTCTTGGTGCTTCTAAGAACCTTAGAAGACACGATTCAGGGCTCGGACAGAAACAAGATGCCTCTTTTTGACTATAAATGTAAGCTGCCGGTCTCCTGCATCTTCCACTTGCCTTGGGGACGTGCAGGGAAGGGAGACGGGCTTTAACCCTTCAACTTCCATTTGCTGGACTCTCCTACTCTGCTGTTAGCATTTTAAGGGGGGGGGAAAGGTCCTTTAAATATATATAGCAATAACTGGGGGAGCCAAGCGTTGAATAATGAAACAAAAGAGAGGTTGAAGAATGAAACCCTCTCACCCTTCCTGCATGACCCAAATTGTGGCCGCAGGAGCCAGCCGTGTGCCTTTCAACAGACAGGCTGCAACTCCTCTCTTCGACCCCGGAGACAAGCTAATTTCATGTGCCGTCTCACACTAGATCTCAGTAACAAAAGACAGGTCAGTCTATTCATTTAGGATTAAATCCCGGCTAGCGGTTGTTTCTTTTCCTATTTACCAACATGACATTTTTACAGCAGCCCTTTAACACCCAAAGAGTTATCGATTGTGGCATTTAGGAGATCTTTGGCTGAAAGGAGGGCTGGGAGAACAGATAACCTCATCAGTCTTCCACCCGGTCAACTCCAGACATTTTTCTTTGTGGTGCCTTCTCCCACCCACTGCAGGTACAACTGACTCAGCTGCCTACACACGTAACAGCCAAGTACCAGAAAATATATAAGCAACAAACACCCCCCCCCAAAAAAAAGGCCTTGCGATAGACATGCTACCTTGCTGACATCCAAAGGCAGCCAATTAATACTGCGCCTTTAAAAGCAGCCTGAAGCACATCAAATTTAGTAGGTTCACTTCACCAGAGCCTTAAAGAAGAAGACAAATTTGGACTTATACCTCGCCCTTCACTACCCGAAGGAGGCTCAGAGCAGCTTACAGTCTCCCTTCCCTTCCCCTCCCCACAACAGACACCCTGTGAGGTAGGTGGGGTTGAAAGAGCTCTCTTGAGGACTGCTCATGAGAGGACAGTTCTGAGAGAACTTGTGACTGACCCACGGTCACACCAGCAGCTGCATATGGAGGAGTGGGGAATCGAACCCCGTTCTCCCAGATTAGAGTCCGTTCTCTTAACCACCACACCAAACTGGCTCTTAAAAACATCACCTGCTCTTTATCAGTGTCGGGGTGCTGTTTAAAGCAGCCCGATTATTACTTCCAAGCTTTCCACTCTTCTCTGTGCCCGAATGTCACACTCCATCCATCTGTCCATCCATCCATCCTTGCATGCCTTCTCTCTGCTTGCCACTGCTGGTCCTGGAAGGAGGCGAGGGTAGGGGGCTGCCAGAGGACCCCCTAGACCAGCCCGAGTCTCTTGCTCTAGCAGTTCTGCATGGAGCTCACGAGAAGGTCGGAGGCCGCCCTGGGGAAGCTTCAGTTTGCACAGCCCACTAGGGCTACCTACCAGCCTCAAATTAAGGCCCGGAATTCTCCTGGAATAACTCCTGACCTCTAGGCTGCAGAGGTCGTTTCCCCTGGAGGAAAGGGCAGCTTCAGAGGGTGAACTCTCTGGTACACCATAGACTCTAGGAGAAGTGGAAGTCCTAGAGTGACATCATATCCCCGCTGACGACCCTTCCCAAATCCTGCCCTTCCCAGGCACTGCCACCAAATATCCAGGAATTTCCCAAGCCTCGGTTGGCAACCTTATAACCCACGACTTTGAGGTTTGCTTTGCTGGGGTTGCCAGGTCTGTCTGGGTTGGGAAATACCTGGAAGTGTGGGGGGTGGCGCCCGAGGAGGGCAGGGTTTGGGGAGAGGAGGGACTTCAATGGAGTACAGGGCCATAGAGTCCACCTTCCAGAGCCTCCATTTCCTTCGGGCGAGCTGAGCTCTGTCGCCTGGAGATCAGTGGGAACAGCAGGAGATCTCCAGCCACTCCCTGGAGTCTGGCACCCCTACCTGAGAGCATCCCTCAAAATGTTGGAGCCACACTGCCTCACTGCACCAGACTGGTACACTCCCCCTCGTTTTCTGTTCCCCAGGGTCCAAAACTGACCTCTGGGAGGGGCCGTAGCTCAGTAGCAGAGCATTTGGTTAGCCGGCAGAAGGTTGCAGGTTCAATCCCCGACACCTTCAGTTTTTGAAAAAAGGACCAGGTAGGAGGTGATGTGACAGGCCTCCGCTTGGGACCCTGGAGGGCCGTTGCCCGTCTGATTCACCCTGGCCCGGATGGACCCCGGGTCGGAGTCGGCAGAGGGCAGCTTCAGGTGCTCAGGTGACAGATCTTCTCCTCCTTCCCCGGGCGGCGTTAAGAAAAGCACGAAACCTTGGCGCGCGGCCGGGAAACGTGCCGAACCGATTTGGACGGCAGAATCCCGGTCGTGTAAGTGGGACGTTTGGTTCCGCGTGCCTTCCAGCTCCCTTGCACATGTCAGCCAGAAATGCTCCTCTTCTCAGACCTGCACGGCACGCCCTTGCGGCTGAATTCCTGCAGGCTGTCTGGGAACTGGCGATGCAAAGGAAACCGGTCCCTTCAGCGCCGAATGGGGATGTGTGAAGTGCCCCCTCTTCCCACCCTACACTTTTATTTTTATATTTCCCCGCAAGCGGTTGACAACGCCATCTGTTCGAGAGCTAGCCGTTCGGCAGAAACAAAGCGAACCCGGGATTGGGCTGGGCTGGGTCGGGAGAGGGCGTGAACACGCGTGGGCTTGTACGTTCACGCACCAGACTTTGCACCACTGTGTGTTCACCGAAGTCACCCTGGATCGAAAGCATCAAGATTCCATGGAGATGGGCTGACTCACAGCCCTGCCTGCGTTATCAGCCC